TAGCTGCCTCCACTACCACTGCCTCCCCAATGCGGCAGTTCCAGTCTCGATGACCCCAGGCCATGTGTCCGCCTGCTGTTGTCTCTACCGCTTTCGTGTCGTCGCGATGAAGAAAGTCATCGACAAAAGTATTGTGCGCGAGGAGACGCTATATGCCAGGCGCAAAACGCTTTAGCCAGGTTGCACGACCCTGCTTGAGGGCGGCCTCTTGCGCTGCGGCCATGCTCCGGCCAAATGTAGCATGCTTTCTCAATCGCGAGAAGGGTACGCGGCTGAGCATGATTACGTACCTGCAGACATTTGCTTCGCTTCGCTCGATTGGGCGTCCTCGTGGCACGCGGGCACATCTTTGGGGTCGGACTGGATGAATGACATCGAGGTATCTAACATCACAAATGGCTGTCAGCATACAATGAACAATCCATGTAACATGCACATTATTTACCAGGCGACAAAGAATAACGACTGCACCGACTGCGGACGGGCTGCGAACTTCGCACTGCCGTGATACTACGCACTGAAAGCTGGGCTAGCACAGCAAAGCCGTCGCATGTCAGACACTCTAGTGGCCTCAAGTAGCGAAAGGGAACACATTAGCACCACTATTGCGCCTCTCGCAACCCGTGCTGACCTCAATATTTGCGTACGTGAACCAGTCTGTTCCCACCATGTAGAATCAGGGACATGCATTCCCGACAGACATTCCTGAACGCATAACGCTTGCGCAACCTCTTATATACCCGCTTTTGAGCTAGAAAATAGAAGGTAGCATCTCCTCTTGACAGAAGTTTGCTCTGCAGTCCAAGCCTTAAGGCAATGGTCCTGCTGTCCTTGTGGCTCCGCGTGACCGGACGCCGCAACTATCCAGTCTGTGGACTAGATCGCCGACTGCTGCGCATACCCACCGAAGACTCAGACTCTATAGTACTTCCAGGTCCTAAACTCATCTTAATGCCTTGCAGTCGTTCGCCCATAGCCCAAGCCTGCAAGTTGCGAATCTTCGTCAGATTTTCGACATATACCAACTTAGTGTTCAATATTCCCAAAGCCCAGCAACTCAAGTTGTAGCGTTTGTCCATTTCTGAGAACTTGTCGATGAACAGATTATAGCGGGTTGACACGACTGTCATGGTGATGCGGCTAGTGTGGACAAGATACTCGGCGTCGTTTGCGAAGGCGGCTCGATTCTGCAATTGATGCAGGTAACTGACCATGACAGCGCCGTCGAGCGCGCGCTCTGCTAGCTTATTGGGCATGTAAGTACCGTGAGATAAGGACTCTTTCCGCTAGGGCTGATGTGTTTCTTGGTTCTATGAGGGTTAGCACCGTCGTAGAACGTCCGCATGAAGAGGGACTTGCCTCTTCTTCATTCAAAATCCATCCGAACCGGTACACGGAAGAAACCCATTGACTGTTGCATAAGCAGACACAGAATATCCTCTAGCCGCGTGCGGCTCAGCCTGCGGAAAAGCGCTCGGCAAGTGCTTGTATTCCTCCTTCAACAGGGGCGGGGTGAAGAGGGTACTAAGTGGGAATCCGATCGGGACTCTAATTTTCTATGGCCTTCGGCAGGCTCAGGTTCCGGCGATTTTAGGTGTCGAAAGTAGCGGCGTAGCATCTCGGCCTCGTTTGCCCACACATGACGGACGCGCATGTCTTTGACAAGTTCCCTGGCCTGGGTGCTAATGAATTGAGTCTTTTGGTTTCGAGACTGTATAGCTTCGTCGAGACTCTTTAGGTGCGCTTGTAGCTCGGGTGGGCGGTGATCATCGGGGATGTCCAGCTTGAGGCCGCGACGACGGCAGGCTCGTTTGATAGCGTCGACGTTAGAGGACTGGCTCTTCGACGACAATGATACCAATTCAGTCTTTGTTAACAGGCCAGAGGAGTCTTGGAGAAGTCTCATATTGGCTTGGTTAAGTGATGGGTTGTTTTGGAAGAGGACCTTTGCGTTCTGAGGTAGGTTGCAAGAGTCAGACGCGGAGGTAGAGTCTCGCTTTCTCTTATATGATATGATAGGCAGTCTAAGAACTGAACCGTGGAGCTGAGATTGCGCGATGTCGTTTAAGGCGAGGGTGGCAGTACGGTCGCGATGCCTCACCTATGGGACTGGGCTAGCGCTGGGCCCACCGGCCCTAGCGGCCATGCGCCTCATCGTAGCGATCGGGAAGAACTCCATCAACTGCTAAAGCTATGGAACCTTGACTTGCCATCATCGTGGAGTCACAATCATGGATCGCTGGCATTCACCTCGATACTTTGTCCGGAGGCTGGAAGGGCCATTCCGTAATCTCTTTTGATCCCTCAGGCGAGTCGGCCAGCAAACAGCAAATGAGGCGAGTGAAGAGGGGTACGGAACCGAATACCATTACCAGACAAGAGAGCCAAGCGCAAACAGCGATCGACACGATCCCGGTCCCCAGACCAGAAGGCTCTGCCCAACAACTTCATCTTTCATAAGTTCGACGGTAACCGCCACTAGGGCGTCGGAGAAAGCACTCAGCTCGCCTTGCATATCAGGGGTTCAAAAAGAACTCCTCAGTAGGTACTGTTTGCCCGGGGCAGTCGGAATTGCCACCATGCGAAATCGCGATATAGGAATAGACTCGCGTTTCGAGATGTTTCGTGCATCACATCTCTTTATACGCCTGTAACTTGTTAGGAGCATAGCCATTAGCGGTCTCTTTACCCAGCTCGAGGCAGAGGGTCACACTTAGGAGCCGTGTGGCGTGAGCGGGGAGCAGCTAGTGCTGCGTGGTGGCTATAGCCGGGATGTTCTAACGAGTCCTACTCGCCATCCGTGGCATTTGGCGGTAGTAGATGTGCTTGTAGATGTTACTAAACTTGTAGGCCTTAGAGTAGATGTTTGCAGTAGTAGCGGTCAGAGAGTAGTAGGGTCGCTTACGTCACTGGCAGCCTGAAGGGCCGGCAAAACTTCAGTGCGACATATGCATTCGGCATGCTTCCAGTAACGCACGCAACCCCACCCCCACCACTGCCGTCTGCCGTCTACCATTTCGAGACCACGGCTGTCCGCCCACGAGAGTACTGAGCTTTCCCAGGAAGCCTTTTATTTCCCCCAAGAATGCCAAGCCACGATTATTACGTTGATGCTAAGTCTAAGGCAAATGCCACTAGAGGCACCGTTCATGCCATTACGTCAAGAACCTCGCTGGGCAAGAGAGCGAATGGTTCCTCCACCATGTAGTTATTGCATTCAGTATGTTAGTCTGCACGCATTAATTATGCAGCTCATAGTCGCAGTGCGCTTATCGCAATAGCGCGCACTTACACAAAGCTTCATCTTCTCTTTTCTCTTGGACGTGTATAGCGTGGCGCCCGTCCGGTGACTGCTCCCCAGGCTACTCAAACAAATGATACGACGCGTCAGGATCAAACTCCTTCCAATTCAGCTTCCAATCCGAGAAGATGCTTTTCTCGAGAACGGGTATTGGAAGATTGAAATGCCGTCACTGAGCGACGGGCTTGTCTGGCCACCGCACATGTCATTCTCGCCGCCGCCGAAGTACCTAGGACCCGCGGCTGCATTTGTCGACTCCCATCTCGGCAGGCTAGCTCAACCCGCTCCTTAAACTGGCTGCTGCAATTGCTGGTAGAGCTAGCCAAGTGCAGAGGTGATGGGTACAGTTGGCAGTTGCTCTTCCGAACATCGCTACCTCATATCTATTGGACTAATCTAGGAATGATAGCGCTTCTCCCTGCCGACCCCGCAATGCAGGTTCATATCACATACCGCAATTACCCGCAACAAGCAATTCGCAAGAAACGCCGTATGGTGATGGTCAGATACCGAACACCTTCGTTGTGATACATGCTGATGATGCATGATTGCTGGGCATTTTTTGCCGGGAAACAACAACCGAATACTTTACTCTTAATACGACATCAGAAGGAAGGCTGGAAACTCTTGAGTCACATTGAGCAATCACCGGCTGCAAGTATGGTGCACGTACAGCCGAGGACTAAATCGGCCTGAGGACACGATCCATGGCTCGCAAGCCAGACACGCGGATCGACAGGCCTTAGTGGACTCTCTGGAGGCACGTCGCGATATGGCTTTGACACGATTACGCGATCAGGTACCTCTCGGTCATCTGCGTCATTACCAGAAGAATGAATTTGCAATCCACTGAATCTTCTCTCGAAATGGAAAGCACAGCAGAAGGCCGCACAGAAATTGCTGATTCCGCGAGAGACAAATATTGTGAGCCGCTTCACACGGTACTCCTGCTGTGTGTAGCTGTGGAGGGTAGCTTATATGTTGATAATCCAACAGGTAATGTGTCTTGGGCATCAGGAACAACAGGCTGCCGGATGCTATCCAGCCGTGGTCCAGTGATATACATGCGATGATAGCATTCTCAACGACCTTACACACACCTGTTGACCTACAAAGCGGCTGCTTATTTCTTGATTACCGACGCGTCCGTCGTATCATGCGCGCGCCTGAGAATTTAAGGTAGCACTGTCTTTTCCACCTCTCGCACTAGTCAGTAGATCATGTCGGTGAAGTGAACATGACCACCTCATGCACGCTCATCGCAGTCTCTCAAGTGTGCTTAGTCACACTACTGATCTACATGATGCCGAGTGCGGAAATGAAGCGCTCTCGAGTGCTTCTTACCGCCTGTCGACTTCAAGACTTGACCGCAGTATCTACTGTCTCTGCGGATGAACCCAGTGAGTCCATCTCATGCAGACGCCATCCATTACGGCCCATGAGCACATTCATATGCCACAGCGAGCGCACGCCATGGAAGGGCTTTGTCTCACAGCATGAGGAATGTCAGTAGTCAGACTGTCTCATCCACCGATGGACAGACACGCTCATACAGCGCCAAGACACTAGCAAACGGGAGTACGCGTGCAAAACAAACTCGACGCTCCCACGTTCGATTGAACTACTCACCGTTCTCACAAGATATAGAAAGAGAAGATTTCAGTCTTCCAAGCGCTCCATTGGAGCTACCGCTCTCATCATGGCGCCGCGCAAGAAGAGCGTTCTCCCCACGGCTACCGAAACGCCCATCTTCTCTTCGGCGCAGCGCAACAAAGCCGGTGTCAAGAAGCCCTCTAAGACGGCGAAACAGGCGCAACAACCCACGGTCGCTCAATCTCCCGTACGCCTGCCCCCGGCTCGGCCGCTATCGCCATTTCATTACGACGAATACGAGGCACCTCCATCACCTCCACCTCCGCCATCGTTCACCCCCAAAAGTCCCAGGAAGAAGAATACAAAGCCAATCATCCCGTTCGACAAGGTCACCACAATCCCGATGTCTCAACTGCGAGCTCAGCAAGCCGACCGCTCGGCCATCCTCAGGAAGGGTTCCTCACTCATCCCGCGCGATCCCGCTGTACACATTTACAACTTCCACAATGCATGGCGCAAGCACCTCTTCAACCGCGATATGGATCCAGCTTTGCGGTTCGCGGCACCAGAGTTGAGGACGATGCTGGGCTTGAGTCCAAAGTGGAAAGATCCGACCAAGACGAAGGTTCCCAAGAAGAAGACCCCGTTTGGAGAGGGCTTCATGGCGCTTTACAAGGGCGGAGAGGATGAGGAAAAGTAGGTGTACCTGGTTTGGGATGTGGAACATCTGTGAGAAGTTGTCACATTGTTGATAAGGGAACTAGGTAATGCGCGCGAGATGACGGCTTTGACGATGGAGTCTCCCGGTCCCAGGTAGAAGGGTTCCATGGAATCTTGTCGTATCGCTCTTGTACCGGAAGCGCCTTTGCTAGTGCCAGCGAGCTCTTTTGCCTCAATGTCACTACAAAGTTGAGTAGTTCTACTCATACATTCTCCACAGTTGCTCTTGATTAATGGTGACGAACAGGTGTGATGATAAGGTTCCCGCAGCAGATCATACGCTTGCCCTGCCGTGCAAAAAGTGAGTGCTTCCATATCAAACGCAAGATGACCGGAAGGAGTACGTGTTGTTCGATTTCACCACCAAAGATTCGGTAGAGGATTAGATCAAAGATTCCAGCGCGGGCTATGACATTCAGTCTCTTTCAAAACACACTTCGAGATGCTGAAGCGTGACCAGCGTGCCAACCTATGCACAAAGCACATCTAGCCAGATACAAGTCAGACTTGCCAGACCGTTAGCTGCGTGCCTTCGTAATGCTCAGAGCCTTCGGGTGTTTCATGCGAGCAAAGATCCATCACCAGCACAGTTGTGCAGTTGACCTAAATAGGAAGCAAGGGTGTTATCGCCGTACGAAGTCGCTGTTTCACCATTCTGGCCATAATCGACTCCACGGCCTTCCGAGCTCACATAAAGCTTATATAAAATAATGCGCCATTGTTCTCGTCGCATCAGATTTGCCTATACCAGAGTAACAAGAGGACTGAGCAAACGCGCACAAGATTCCAGGGCTCAAAACCCCAGGTCAAGCATCATCAACGAAATAGAAGTTTTCATCGCAGCGGCAATATATCTGACAGAACTATGGTGTCGATGCGGCATGACTGTACAAATTCTGACCATTGTTCGACCAACATGCAGGCCAGAATTTGCGTCGCAGCGAGGCAAATCTGAGACAACAACGCATGTCTCGTGAAAGGCAGTGCCAAATGTCATGCCACTACGCACTTGAATGAAACGCTAGAGCAGACCTGATAGTAGCAGTACATCACGGGTTGAACGTTGAAAAGATGTGGTGACGTGGGCGTGGATAATCTCGCGCCCGGCTAACGTGCCTGTGTACCAGCCAGATCATCCCCGTACCGGTAAGATGTCTTCCTTCATGCCTCCCATCATTCCAGATCGTCCCTATGCTCGGGAATAGTAAGTCAGGTACTGGCTAAGAAGCTCACCTTGCGCTGAAAGTGAGCTGATGATCAATAAGATGTTTCAACTGCTGACTATCTTCTCCCGCAAGCTTGAGCCCGTCCAGAAGTGTTACGTACGCGTCGCTTCCCTGCACTCGGACAGTCTGAACCGCGGCTCGGTGATCAGTAGAATGTCTCGGGATGGGGGGCTTCTCTCGATGTTACGCCCAAATGATCGCGCTAACTATCAAACGGAATACCGTTCTCGTTTAAGCCTTCTCTAATAATTAGTGCAGAAAAGACATCTAAGTCTACGGTAAAGCGGTCATCGGTGAGGCGATGCAAGCGTTCGGACAAACACACTGCTTCACCGGTAAGTCCAGCTCGCTACAACGATTCGCTAGAGCTTCGCAATCTCCCTTATATACTCGCTTGCACAGCTAGAGACATAAGCGTATGCAAATTAAAAAAGCTTTCGCTGCTTATACGGTGTTAACTTTATTACTTAGTTAAACAAGCGCTAATGTCTCGCGATCTATTTAAGAAGATTATAGCACTACTACTACTACGTCTATTCTAGCCTGTTCTAACCTTAATATTTAAGTATATAAGCTATTCTTTTTCTATAAAGTAGAACTATAGTTTAGTTAATAGTACCTTAGGTATATCTTTATAAACTATAGTGCCTTTTTAGCTATATTATAGTTGCGTAAGTAGTAGTAAGTATAAAAGTAATATACTAGAATAAACTTCTCTATATTTATTATAATACTTAGTTATAAATACTTTTAATAATTATATTATCTTACCTACTAATAGTAAAGCTATTAGTAGCGCCTAGAAAAAATATAATTAACCTACTATTAACTATATAATAGAAGAAGATAATTAAAATACTTATAATAAGCTTTTTTACTTTTTCTAATCTTAGCTAGATAAATAGAGTCTAACTTATACACTTTATTACTAAAGAATAGAGTAGCTCTTAAAATAGTATACACTATTTTAGAAGCTACTTAGCTAGGCTAACTAATAAGTATAGCTCTAGATAATTAGTATTACTAAGACTTTTTCTAAGCCTAACTAGCTAGGCTAGTTAAGATTAAAAAGCTAGGCTAGGCTTATACTAACTATAAGAAGTAATACTTTAACTTAGCTTATATACTAGAGAAGATCTAGAAACTTTTTAATCTAGTATAGAAGAAAAGAAGAAGAGAGTAGTAGTAGTAAGAGTATATAACTATAGGTCCTTTTATAGAACTAGGTTTTAGCTCTTAGCTAAAATAGAGAAGATTATAGTATAATTAAGTATTAATTAAAGAAGAGTTAGATATAGTATATTTACTAATACTAAACTATAGTAGGCCTATAAGTAGAGGTAATAATAGCTTAAAGTATATCTATTACGTGTCTTCTACGTAAGATAACTACTCTAATAATATTATTACCTACGCTACTAATATATAAATTAATAGTTAAGAAGAGAAGCTTAGTAAACGTTTAGATTAGAATAAGATAAAGATAGTTTCTTATTACTTAAAGTATATATTTATAAACCTCTCTAACGTAACTTTTCTAGAAAGAGTATAGTAATATAGCTCTAGTATATATTTCTTATATTATCTTCTATCTAAGTAGTTAGTAATATATAATATAGTAATAGTTATAAAAGTATTAAGAATAAGACTAAATATATCTATAAGTAGGTATATTACTTTAACTTTAATAAATATAGATATAAGATATCTTCTAAATATCTCTAGATTAATCTAATGCGTTACTTATATACGTTATAGTTAGCTAGTATTACTACGTATAGTAAAGTTACTAAATAACTAGTATAATAAAAGAGCTTTCTTACTTAAATAGATAAGTAACTATAGCCTAATAGACGTAAAAAGTAATTACTAGTATATTTACTAGACTCTCTCGCTTTAGTGTATACGTAGACCTACCTCTACTAGTAGCTTACGCTTACACCTTCTATATATAACACTTTACTATATACTATATCTTATATATACTAATCTAATTAAGGCGTATTAATAACGCTAAAAGGCTAGAGTTTACACTATATTATAGACACTAAGAGAAAAACAAAGCTATAGATAAGTTAGTAGTAATATAAAGTAGAGTCTCTAAAATATAGTTTAAATATCTAAGGTATTTATAAAGATACTTTCTACTTTATTAGAGATCTTATAGCTAATATATAAAAAGAGTTATAGCTATTAGTAGATAGTATTATATGTATATTAGTTAAGGTATTAATTAATAGTATAGAATATTTTATTATTATATACAATAGGTAGAAGAATTAGTAGTGTTAACCTCTAGATACTTAGAGATAGAGATTAATAGGCGCAGAAGACGCTTCTCTAGTAATTACTAAAATAATTATTATTAAGCGCTTAGATATAAGTCTAAAATAGAATTATTTATAAAGGTAGATTGCTAAAAGTAGACAAAGGTGCTGCTATTAATAATATAGAGTAGAATAGCCTAAGATAATTAATTAATAACTTAGTTAGTATTATAAATAAGAAGATAATATAATAATAAAGAAAGATAACGTAGTTAAAGAAAGTATTACGTAAATTAGATACTAAGAAGTGTATTAATTACGCTAGTACTACTAATTATATAGTAGTAACTAATTATACTAATAGCTAAGTCTATTATTAAATAGAAGTAGTGCTTTTTATACTCTTACTATTAGAAGTAATATTATATATGTAAACACGCTATAGTGTTGTTATAGCTCTACTTAGTATATATTATTATTATTATTATTATTACTAGAACTAGTTAGTAAAATTAAGCTTATTTAGTAGCTCTAGTAGTAAGCGCAATAAGTTTTTACTATAGATATCTAAACTCTAAGCAAATAAGAGCTTAAAAAAGAGCTATTTAGGTAACTTTATTATTAGTAGTAGAAAGTTTATTATTTATTATAGAATTAGTACTATAAAAAGTATTTTATAAATTATAGATAAATAAAGATAGTAGATTAACTAAATTAAAGGCACTTAAGGTAAGAAGAAGGTATTATAGAGAAAGCTATTTAAGAGGTTTAATATCTTTAAATAGTAAGTATTACCTACTCTTCTACTATATCTAGGTCTACTATTATCTAATAGCTACTATAATATAGGCTAAGATTATAAATATATCTAGAGCACTACGCTTATCTATAAAAGCTTTACTATTACGTAAGACTTATATTACCTAATTATTAAATATAATCTAGTAGTTTACGTAGTAGAGTAGAGAATAATATAGATAAAATTAGCTTATAATATATACTATACGTATTCTCTTAACTATACTATAATAAATAATTTACGTAGTCTCTATATACTACTTATAACCTTTAGAAGGTTATAGACTCTAATTATCTACTAGTGCTATTATTATCTAGTTCTAAAAGAGTAATTTTAATAAATAATTTAATTACATTAATACTACCTATTCTACTTAGTACTTATTACTTATACTTACTTAATAACTACGCTAGTATAAGAACTTAATATAACTTACTTATATACTAATATCTTTTTAATAACTTAGCTATTACTATAATATTTAAGCGCTTTTAAAAAGCTAAGCTTATTACTATTTAGAACTTTCTAGCTTATATTATTTTTAATCTAGTTCTAGAGCTTAGCTAAAGCTTATTTCTTACTTTTTAACTAAGCTACTACTATTATATTATTTATAATATTATTAGCTTTTATTTATTAATTTCTTTATATTAAAAGCTTTTACTTTATTTAGTAAATTACTTTAAAA